ACATTCCAAATACAAAATAAAAAATTAAAATAGGGATGCTATGAGTGTTAAAAATGTATTTTAAGATCTACAATCATTTTCAAGACAGGGAAGGTTCACACAAATTTAGTATTGCTTAGTTCCAAGAGACACTGATATTTAGACCGATATTCACGAATTTATAATAACTTAGTTAAAAAGTTATAAAATTCCGGTGCAAACGTGGTTAAGTGATACATAAGTTGAAGAAACGTAAAGTTGAAAATGCATCAAGAATTTTTACTGTGGATAAATGAAATACCAATACTACATGTAGACTGTAGACTTTATTGTGTTCCCACGGGCGTATGAAAAAGCCGGAATCCGGAACCGAAACCGGAAACGGAACTTAAATTGAGACCAGGGTAAACTGGGAAGCACTGAAACCAGTTCCGATACCCGTGTGGGAATAAAATTCAAGATGGCGTCCTCTGTTATCATTGTTTTGAGAAATTTTCAGCACAGTATACCTGCCAACTCTCACGCCTTAGGCGTGTGTCTCACGCCTGCGGGTTGAAAACTTCGATCTCACGCCCGCTCACGCCTGCCGGCCAATTTCTCACGCCTGATTGAAAAATGTGAGTTGTTGCCGTCTTGCTTGACACAATTTCCAAAAATATGTTAACTCAGACCCATGTAAGGAACGAAAACCACGTGTAAAATGAATAAATGACAATACCTTCCTCGCGATCTCTGACTTTGTGGATAAGCGTTTTCTCGATAACTTCGCCTTCGGCAGACTTCGGACGTCTTCGGAAGACTTCGGACTTCTTCGGAAAACTTCGGACTTCTTCGGGAATCTTCGGAAATGATCTTGTCGTCTTCAAAAATCCCAGCACTCCCAGGATAAAAATCTCACGCTTATATCTCAGAAAAAGTTGGCAGGTATAGCACAGTGATCGTGATACCAAAGGTATACTCACATTCGGAAAGTGACTTGCAAAAAAAAAGGTAAGTGCATCCTACTGTTATTCCTAGCAGTCATAAACTGTGACTACAGCTGTAGGTCGAGCAATTTTCGACAGATCGAGACTACAACTAATCAGAAGCCGATTGACTGCGAAAAACAGCCATTATTAGTATGTTATGTTTAAGACCGCTGTGTTATTCATTTCCTTCTCTTGAGCCTAAGTTACTCATTTCTTAAAAGGGCTCCGTGTTTCAACCATTGTGAGAAGAAGGAGGCAAAGGGAGGAGGAGTACTCATGTCAATCACGATCCCAAGTTGCAACGCTCACGCGTATATGAAATTCTCGAGGAAAAATTTTTCGCCGTACGCAAAAAATGCGACGGTAAAAAATATAATAACAATAAATAAATATAATGTGGGGATGAAAAGTCTTGATCGAGCAATAATTGTTAGTGACACTCTTAAGACAGAAACGTCTCCAAGTTTTATTTCTTAGGTTCGGGTTCCGTTTCCGGTTCCGGTGCCGTTTCCGTTTCCGGCTACGGATTCCGGATTCCTGCTTTTCCATACGCCCTGTTCCCACTATCGAACATCTTCATACATATTTTATAATTCAGACAATGATAAATAGTAATAATTTATTATTTACAATAAAAGATAATAAATAGAGATAAACTAAAGAATAACTAATAATTATTACAAGTATAGTAAAAAATATGTGCTAATATGCAAATTCAAATGTCATTTAACTAAGAGGTCAGCCACAGCTGCAGATGATGCACTTTCAGATTGTCCTGACCGACAAGTCATGCACAGTTTTTGGTTACAGGAATCAGTTCAAGTAATGTTCAAAATAAGAACAGAATTATTTTATCATTAGTTAAAATTGGGCATGAAGCGCAAAAATTTTTAACCAGTGATGAAACACGTGCTGTGCAACACATACGTCATAATAAGTAGACTGTAATGACTTTGAAAAACCAAGATTGAATGGATAAGATTACAGATCAGTCCTGGAATTACAAATCAGATCAACTATAGTTAAGATATGTATAATGGATGAAATGCAGAGATGCCAACCTCTGGAGCTCTACAATCTGGAGACTCTCTTTTTATCACTCCCCCCAGAATTTCAATGGATCCCCCATGACAAGTTGACCCAGCCCCCAATAGAGTACCGAAGTGTGACATCATAGAAAATGAAATTTGTCAAATTATGGGATTTGTTAAGATATTCTGAAAGAACAACGTCCAAGACGCCTACTCGCCAAAAATTAGCAATTTGGGGCAGATTGTCTCTGAGATATTAGCCCAGTTATGCTCCGATGACTCCATACAAATCCTTCTAAATCTTACCTGGTTCCTAATCTTATGAACTAAGTAAAATTTAGAAGTATTTGTATGGAATCGTCACAGCATAACTGGGCTAATATCTCAGAGACAATTTGCCCCGAATTGCTAATTTTTGGCGAGTAGGAGTCTTGGACGTTGTTCTTTCAGAATATCTTAACAAATCCCATAATTTCACAAATTTCATTTTTATGACGTCATCACTTCGGTACTCTATGGGAATAACTTAGGACATTATATGAGGTCTTACATGAAGTGCATACTATCAAAATTTGCAATCATCATTTTCCAGAAATAATCTTTGTCAGTGACTAAATGCGTGCAAAAATGCCCCACAAACAGTACTGTGAATGAGAAAAATTCAAGTTTTGAGCTAAATATGGGCTGAATCTCAAACTAAGGCACAGAAAAGCTCAAAATATGATTTTATCCGGGAGATATGGTGATCCGTACGGGAGAGCGGGAGATTGGCGCCATATCCCGGAGACTCCCAGATAATGCGGGAGAGTTAGTATATATGGAAGTGACCTGATAAATTTACATGCAGTATTGTAAGTCAGAAACCCTAATACAGTTAACACAAAATAAGCCATTACCATGAAGTTCCAAATGTATGTAGAGCTCCACACATGAGTATTCTCTGAAAAAAAAAATGATGGCAAATGTAACTATGCAATAAGCATAGTATTGTGTCACCTTTTAAAATTCTCTACCCAACAGAAATTTTTTTGTTATGGCTATAGTGCTGGTAGATTTACCTTAGCATTAGCCGATCATTATACATTTCTGGGAAACTGGCGACTTACCCCACCCCTAAGCCAACGTTTTGCCCTGAATGAGAAGCAAGTGTTAATGTTGGCTTAGGGGAGGGTATGTGGGTAGTTTCCCAGAAAGGTATAATGATCCGCATTAGCAATGTCAGTTGTGATGGTTGTTGAAGTCTTGGTCTTCTGTGGTGTAGGTTGCATGGTGCTGTTTCTGCTTTACAATGGTGTTAGCTAGGTGTTCACAGTTTCTTCTTCTTATACAGTCGACTCTCTCTTAACGGAAACCTCTATAAGACGGACACCTCTGTAAAATGGACACCTAGAGATGGTCCCTGCCTTTGCTTATATCCTTTCTTTGACTCTTTATAAGACGGACATCTCTCTAAGATGGACACTTAGCGCCGGTCCCAAAGGTGTCCGTCTTGGAGAGAGTTGACTGTAGTGCTGTTGGGTCTCGTCACCTCATACAAGTGAGGTTTCTCTGCAGCTTTTACTACGAGACATCCAGGCTCAGCAGGTCCTTGATGTACACTTCTGTGCCAGGATCTGTTGGGTTCAAAGGCAAGGCTCTGTGCCTGCCGTTGAAAGATGACTGCCGACTTAGTTATCTCTGGACTACTAGTGGTGTGTTTAAATCCTTTAGTTATTACTTGGCAAACCTGGCAAATTCAAACTTAAAGCACTGTTCAGATCACACTTTTTGGGGGGTTCTCGATTTTGTACTTTGTTGCAAATATGGCCCTCAGTGCCCTGATAATCTCAGTTGACTTTGTTGTTTTTTCCATGGCTGCCACTTTCACATACCTTGAAAAGTAGTCAAAAGCTACCAGGTAGCCCATGCCGTTCCATTCATGGAGGACTGATGCCACCATCTGCCAGGAACAATGGGGGTGCCATCAGCTTTTTAAAACTTTAGACACGGCTTGACACAGAGTTTTATGAGCTGAACAAAATTTTATGTCCTTTGAGTAAGATTATTATTAAAATGGTACCCGTTTAAAGGTTCAGTTACAGTTTATAGTTTATAGTTTTTGCCATTAAAAGTGGCTGTTTAGGGTAGTCCACTGAAAAATTAAGGAACCCAATGAAGGGTTCTAAATCTGCAATACATTACCAATTTCTATGACATAGTTTTGACCTCTGCAAGTAATGCAGTCTCCTTTCCCAACATGTTCAACTAATTATATCAGGAAGGGGTTGCGAGTACAGTACCGGTAATAAAATCAGAGATATCGAGATCTTGTTTTTAAGTCTGAGACTTTGAGGCAAGTTCTAATCCACAAAACAGAAATAACCACACAAGACAAACCTTAATACTCACCAAAATCACTCTCAAAATTTGGAGATCAAATCCGATTTGTTTTAAGTGTAGACCCCCATAACAGTGTGCAGAGTTAAGGTGTTTAAACATATCAAACATTTGGTATATAGCAACTTAAACTGTGTTTGCTCCACTTGTAGTGGCTGACTTTTTATTGTTCCTATTTTTTCATTTAAGTATTTTTAAAGAAACTGAAGAGAGACAGTAATACCTCACGAGACAAACTTGAAGGTATGTTGGCCATTAAAAGGGTTTAATAATCCATTCCCTAGTAAAATTAAGAGACCTTCTTTAAGGCGAATTGGTCCTTTTTTTTAGGGCGGGGGAACTCCCAGTCGTTATTACAATCAGTAGCGTAGCCTTAACCCTTCACCCCCTTACAGTCAAAAAACATGTTTTCATTTAGCGTGATCAATTTTCATTTTCTTTGTTTTATGCTCAGTATCGTAGATGTACATTACCATACACAAAAATTGGAACTAAAACAAAAACAATTTTTTTGAAAAAAAAAATTTGAACAAGAATAAGATTGAACAAAAAAATTTACCTTGTAACATAACGTAAATTTAATTCAAGAACGCTTACTTTGATGTTCAATTAAAACTGTTTGCGTTTCGCATACATTACTTCTCCCAAAGCCAAACGAGTCAAGTTTTCTTCGTATTTTCATTTTAAATCTCATTTTTATTCGGATGGTTTAAGTCTGATGTTGTTTCTTTTGTATTTTTTGTATTTTTTATTTTTGTTTCGTGGCATTTCCCGAGTGACCGCGCTCCCCTTCTCCTCCTCTATTTAAGAGACATCAAGTGACCGTACACCCATTATCACACCTGACCCATGATAAGAAACTCTCGAACCTAGCTTTGCGGTTTTATTGTCAGAACTTGCCTGATGAGAGTAAAGATACTTTTGCATGTCCCCCTATATTGCATGTATCCACAGGGTTTATTCGCAACTTTTGTATTGCTCATAATACACTTTGTTTGCACGTTGTTTTGTATAACAATTTTTTCCCAATTTCTCTTGGGTGTTACAGTTGCTCCAAGACAAATTGAAGCCCAAGCTTGTGCAAAATTTTTGGGGGCAAACAAGATGCATTATGGACAATGCGAAAGTGGTGAATGGATATTATACACTCAATGTCAGATCCCGAGGGAAACAGTTAGTTTTGTTTTCCCGAGAGTCCTGATGTCAGGACTCGAGGGAAAACAAAACTGACTGGTTTCTCGAGGGACCAGACATTAAGTGTTTTGGTATATTTCTAGACTTTCACTTCAACGCACTTCAACAGCAACAAAAGAATACGCTTAAGCGGAGCGAATCAAAGCAGTACGGCTCGATACTTATAATAACACAAATTTAATTCTCAAAACCACTGAATGAATGATTTACAAGGTACTTTCCTTATATATCATCTGCATCTTTTTCCTCCACTAGCTGCTGTTTCTCCTCGGGGATAACTTCGAAAATCGTTGCTTTTTAGCTTGAGACTTCATGTTTGTGTTGTTGTGAATCTTGTTGGGTTCATTCACGAAAAGAAAACTGCCAGTGTTTTTCCCGCCTTTTGTCACGCCACTTTCCACCATGCTCTGATCACGTGCTGTAATGTATCCCAAGCGGGGTACATTGCTTAATGTAGCACGATCGGGATACATTTGATTTTAGTCAAGGCCACGTGACCAAGAATCAACCAATGGCTGTCCCTGTCTAGTTGAGTGAAAGTCTAGGAATATAACAATTGATGTTGATATTACACAGAGCAGCTAAAGAACTTGAATGATCAGATCCTCGAAAGTGAGAGAAAAATCAGGGACAAAGCCAACCAAGAAAAAGGTATTTTTACTTATAAACTTTGTTATAAAAAGACAAGAAGCCACCTTGGTTGTACCTTATAGAAGCTGTGTCACATTCGAACCTGCGCATTAAATTCTTACAAATAATTTTATATCAAGCTGCTTTCAGCCTATATCGGCTAGCCTGACACTGTTTTCTTCCCGGTTTTCCAAACTTGTTTATTAATTTTTATTCTGTTATGACTAGTACACTTTCCATTTTCTTTTTTTCGTTTTTGCCATGTAACAAACAGGTGTTCAGTTAGTTTACGAAGAGCAAGACTGACTCAAGGCCTCAGTCCTGTAGCAACCAAGTCAAAAAATTGCGACTAACTGAGTGCGAGACAGGAGAAATAGCAAAAGTGTTGTCCAATAAGGGTCTGATAAAAAAAAAAATTACACTTATCGAATATCCTTTCAAGGGAGAAAATCAATGTTTCTCTTATCTGTCGGCCCCTAAAAGTACATGGACATATTCCTTTCATCTGTTGATATCATAGAGTTTTCCTCTTTTCTTGCCCTTTATCAAGCAATATGCCTTCATTTACTGTACCTTCCATCAGTGCCTAATATCAAACAAGTTTTATTGTTATAATTTGAACAAGAACTAACGTTTCAATTGTACAGATAAACGTGTTTTCAAACGAACTTGACATCAGATATCTAGCGTTCATTGTTCTTCTATAGGTTTGCATTTATCATTCGTCATCGCTTTCATCATAGAACCATATTAGGTCCTCATTGTCACTGGAGTGACCAATTGGCACTAATGTTAATTTCATTATACTGTTCCCCAGTCGTTGGGACGGCAATACCACATTTGAAAAACGAGCGAATAGTGATCATCGACGCCGGAGAGATTTCTTGCCAAGCTTACCCTTCGGCCATTTTGTCAAAAGAACCAGCGGTTTTTAATTGCATAAGCGCGCTCAGTGATCTCTAAAGAGAAAATGGAGGGTCTGTAAACAGGCTAAACGTCAATAGGCTGGACCTTACCTTTTGTCTCTGGTGGGACTAAGGTAAGAGTATTGTTACATGATCCTGAACGTCGAGAAATTAAAGTTATGGAGCAGAGAGAATTCACTGAGGATGAAAGAGACATTATGCTTTTTGCGCAGTCGTGGTCAATTTGTTTATTTTATTAATGACACATTTTAGCCATCCGAAAGTAACAGCTATCTGAAAGTTACGGCCACCCAAAAGTTGCGGCCCCTCTGGCCTGCTAATTCCGAAGGTAACGGGGGCTGTTACTTGCCGAACTCTACTGTAATGCAATTATTGAGTCAAAATTCATTTCATTTACTGCATGACACAATTAAAAAGACACTGAACGTTTTTTTTTGCTGAAGAGATAATAATCTTTCTCAATACTTTTTTCTTGTTATAATTTAGACTTCAAAACAGTCCGCATTTTTGCGTGTTCAAGTGTTCGCAAACAAAAGGTCTGGAGCGAGGCTGAAAAAGGCTCGCGCGCACGCTAAGCTTTACCGATTTTGAGAAAAAACCAACTTCTTTGCAGTTTAGTTATAATTGTACTATTCGACTTACAATGAATGTCTTCCCCCAGAAAAAATCAGAGATGACCTCGAAGACATCAAAAGCAAACTAGGAAGCATGGGCGAGAAATTGAGAACTTCAGCAAATGAAGGTAATTTGCCTATGGGTAGTATTGTAGTATTTCAAGCAATGGAGATTTTGAGTGAATTTACTTCTTTTGACAGAAAAATTTGAAGAGAGTAACAGGCTTTGCGATTTGCTAGGAAAATTCCCATAATCGTGAGATTACAGGTACAACAGGTCCCAAGTTTTAATCCCGTGCGTTCGAGCCAAACTTGGCCATCCGGCTTGTTCCGGTATTCATTGACACGTTGAGGAATTTTTCTGCCACTGCATGGATGGGATGCTAATCCAAGGCATGTTTACCCCTAGCATTAAATTCGCTGGTACCCATGTATACACTTGGGTGGAATGAGGCACATTGAATGCAACGCAGTGTTTGCCCCCAGGGCTTGAGCCTGGAACTCTCGATCCAGAGTTCACACTAACCATTAGGCAACCACGCCACTCATTACCTATTTCAATACTTATTATTTTTTCAACCAACGGAAGTTTTGCTTAAATTTTTATCCCCAGACAGAGAAAAATTTGAGGAGATTAAAGGTGAAATAACAGCCATTAGAGAAAAGTTAGATGCATTGACATCAGCCGGACAGGAAAGCAATGGCAAAGGAACATGTAAGATCTGCAGATAAGTTCTGCACTTAAGGACTATAAACAGTGTCCGCGTCAATATTTGTCTGTTTTAAGCGGGCTGAATTTAGAAAACAACAAAAAGGCCTTTACGGGGAAACTGGTGAAAGTCCACAATGGAACACACAGTTGACGCTCTCTTACGCGATCACCTGAGAAATTCGAAAAAGTGGTCGTAATTAGAGCTGGTCGGGATTGAGCTCTTGTAAGCGACCGCATTGTAAACAATACGGGGTAGTCCCTTACGAGAGCTGCAGAAAATCATTCATAATTCATAAAGAAAAACAAAAGAAATTGATATTTAATGAGCGTCTTTTATATCTCATAAAGACACGGCTAAACTTTACATCCAATTTTTTAGATCATTAGCGCAGTGTGCAGTTTCATGTAAGTGTTGATTTATATGAATAAGACTGTGGGTCACGTGGCCGCTGAGTGGTCGCTTACTAGAACTTAAAAACAAAGGAAAAGTCCAGTTGGGTAATCCCAAAAGTAATCGCGGTCGCTTATGGGATTGGTCGCTTACGAGAGCTTTTCATTACAAAGTGTAAGTCGCAGTTTAAACATGGTTTCACAGAGGTGGTCGTAACTGGAGCTGGTCGCTTACGAGAGTGGTCGTAAGGAGAGCTTCGATTGTATTATTGGATTTTGATTTATGTTTGCCTCTTAGTTATTTACGCGATTAAAATTTACGTGCTTTAACGTGCGTAGCCAAAAACGCGTCAGTGGAAATCAACCTTAATTCCCATTTCCCTTGGATTTCTCCCCACTTGTCAGTCATTTTTACTCGGTTGACTCGAACTCGGATAACTCGAATTCCCCGCTAACTCGAACTAAATTTCCTTTCCCGTGATCTAAATTTCATTGAAACTTACCCAATAACTCGAAATAAGTTAAATTTGCACTGCACTACAGGGTGTCCCAAACGTTCGTTCCTCTAATTGCATGCCCTACAACTTTTGATCAAAACTTTATTTTTACATGAAATTTCAAAAAGATGTTTATTGCTCTATCGGTACTTGTATTCAGAAGTTCATTAACCGGCATGCCCTCTTTGTTTTTTTTATCACATTCCGTAAAGACGTTGCGGCATGGAATTGGATAAGTCATGTAGCGCCGGTAGAGGCCCAGATGATCCATTTTGAGGTTTTTTATCACCTGGTACGGAAGAGCCACTTCGACACCCAAACAATATCATTATATATATGAGGCATAAGTATTTGTTTACAAATTTGAGACGGGCGCGCTGAACGTTAACGTTGCTTGGTGAACTGAGCAGAGCTTTTTTTGCCATATCAGGGGCCTCCAACCCTCGCTTTTCATTAACCTGCTCCAGACTTGGCCTGCTAACTGTTGAGGCTACCTTGCCAAGTTCCTCTTTTGTACGTAGCCTTTAGTTGCTTTTTTAGGACGTTCGGTCTTTCCCTTCATTTCTTGTCTTCAAAATCTTCATTTCTCGGTGACCAATTTACCACCCAACATTCGGGCTTTTCCCCATTTTCTAGAAATTTTTTTAAACTGATAAGCTAGTAGGTCAAAGTGTACATGATTATGCCCTCGGCGTAGCTCAGGACCGTTTTCGAGTTAAGAGGGTTTATCTTTCATGATATTCACAAGAAAAAAAAACGAGGATGGAGCTCGAGCAATAGACCTCTTTAGCTTGTATGTTTTGTTCTCCCAATACAGATCAGTATCAGTGAACCTTTAATAGACGTGGATGATTAACATTGATTTTGAGATCTCTTATTCCTTTATCTCAATTTTAATCCTTTCATATTCTGGGATTTCTTGATGTTTAAGTGTAACCTACCCCCGCCCCCCCCTTTTGTGTTATAAATTGTGCATTTAAAGCAATTTTTGTTGATTAAAAAGTCCTACAATTGATATTTTCAACTATATATTTTTGGGTTTTTACATTTTATATCTCTGTCAAGTCTGGAAAAATAGGGTCTTGTATTTGGGGGGTAGGTTATTGCCAGTTTAGGCTAAGTAGGTTTTTAATTATATTCTTATTTTCTATAAATGAGATATAGTTGTTGATCACCAGAAAAATAAATAAACTTGAGTTCGGTCCTTAAATTATGCAGTATTTATTCACAACTGTATTACGATAAGCCCAATAAAACTGATTACAGAATCTACATATGCAATACGGTTACAATGTATCTGTCTATTATTCTTGTTTTGTAAGTTTGTATTTTTAAAGTCAAACCCCATTGGCTTTTTAAATGTGTTATCATAATAATTTAACTGTAACCCACATGTAAGAACCTGCTTGATCTTGCTTGGCTAAACAGGCTGTTATTATTTTTTGTTATTAAGATGGTAAATTTCTGCCAGCAGTTTCTTAAACCACTAAGTTCTTATAATTACATGCGGAGTTTTACAGTAATGAGAACTACTTTTATTAAAATGAGAACCAGAGGAAATGTTTGGAGAGCTGCGTGGATTCAGTGATGATTCTATCTTAGCAATTTGGAATTTCAAGAGGATAGATAATATGACATTAAGCTGGTTTCAGTTGTAGGCGGTCTTCTAATTTGCATTAACATTCTTTATTTCTTGCATTCTTGAACGTCTAGATCATGGAGAGGCAAGTACTGCAAGTGGTACCGTTAGACCTGGTGTTGCTGCAGGGCCTTCAGATTTAAACATGAAGCAGACTCATCATGACCAAGGTATAGAACTCTACTAAGGGCATAATGAAACTCTGTTAAGATCGTTCGAAACTTTTTTGCTAAAATATGGTTGGTAGAGGCGAATGGTTATGAAAGCTGCCTAAAATCAATGGTGTTGCAGTTTATGTCGAGAGCTCCCTTACCATGCACAGTCGTTTGATTTTGGTTCGTTTCTACCTGTTGATTCAGTCAACATGGTAGGAATGCTAATAAACGTTGTGCACGGTCAAGTCAAAGAAAGCTGACAAAAATATTTTTAGGGGGGCTCCCACGAATATGGTCAACCTCTTTTCGTTTGGTTTTCACGTGATTGACCGAGCGTACGTACGTACGCACTCGTCTAGAGATTGTACGGGTAGGGTAGGGGAGACAATCAAAAGGAAGGGAGGGGTGTCTCAGGGGTGTCTTGGTAAATCCACATCTTTTACATTGGACATTTACCATATGGTCTAGGGGATAGTCAATTGACTGCTGTCAAAACAGGATAGCTACTGACCAGTATCACATGACCATATCGCGGGCTCATATGTCAACTCATCGAGGTGACGTGATTTATTTGGAAACTGTCCGCTGACCAGTTAATTGTTTTACTAGATCGCGATCAATGTTCAATCTCACACTTTCTGGCCAGTTTGGGAGCGCAGGAAAACTGATAATGCACACATATTGGACATCAATGTTGTGATCAATTGACAGCTGTCAAAACAGGGTATCCGTTGACCAGTATCACTTGACCGTATCGCGGGCTCAGGATGTACAAAATGAAATTCAGCTGCTATCAGGAGTATTCTGTTATTCATGGCTTGTTTTTTTATTGGGTTTCTGGTTTAGTCAAAGTCGGAAATCCGATTTCGGATGGCATTGTTTTCATTTTTCACCGTGCTTGATGCGTAAGAGGGTTGAAAAGTCTGAAGCGATACTGGCTTTACTTGATACCTTTCAGGAGCTGCATCTCGAATGGTAAGCCTGAGTAATTATTGTGTTTGATGTTTGTTTTTAATGAAGTCGAGCGTAGTTTATGCGACTATTTAGTTTATGCACGTTTGTAAGATTTGAGACAATGATCTTACTGAGTATCAGGTTTGATATAAGCTTACTGAACTTTAAAAAAACTTTCGACATTTTCTCACCACTAATAGAAAGAAAACGTTCCAAAGAATATTTAGTTATAATTTTGGCTGCAGAGAGAAAGCTTTGAGCGATTTTCTTGCCTCGAGTTTATCTTTGAAAAATACAAACACCGGGAAGCCGGCTTAAAACATAAACTTAAGCTTTAAGCTTGAAGACTCAGGAATTTTAGAGACACTTTAATACTTGTCTTCTTGAATTAAAATTATTGTCGCTGTATATGTTTCACCGAATTATATTTCTTTTGTTGATTGTTAGTAGTGTGACGCGAGGCAAACCCCGCGGGTACCCCTCTAAGTAAGTCTCGTGACATGGCGTAATAACCATGTGCGAAGAAATGATTGTGAGACTAGTCGAGTAGCAGATTAAACATGTGTTGTTCTCTTAACGCCGTGTTTTAACTGGGAATCGTGGCGTTACACTGGTGGCAGCGGTAAACAAAGACGAACTTCACGGATATATGTGTTCAATGGCGATATTTTCATGGTTTGCGTGACTGAGTTTCATCGCCCTCCGTTGTTTTTCATCCAAAGTCTCTTCGTGTGTTTGCTATCGTGGTGTCGCTCGTTTGCAATGGCGAAAAACTCACTTGTGGATTCAGGATTTAAAGGAATGAGTTGTTCCACGCCAGCTAATCCTTTTAAAGCGGGAAACCCATTTACATCAGGGTCTGTTTCATCTGTAGACTCATCAATGCATGTGGAGAGTCCAGGTCGGCGATTTCAATCAGCGGGCCCGTTTGCATCGCCGCTGGATCCGTCAGTACATGGTACCAGTGCAAGTCATCGATTTTGCTCCAAAAACCCGTTCGCATCGGAGAGTCAACAGGATACTTACTCCACTGATTTGTTTACACACCGCCCGAAGTTAAACAAGCCTATTAAAAATCCTGCGGATTATGATGGTTCTCAGTCGCTACTTGATTATTTGAAACACTTTGAGCGTTGCTCTGTTGTTAATGGTTGGAACCAAGAAGAAGCCGCTCTATTTCTTGCTGCAGGCCTTCGAGGAGAAGCCCAAAAGGTGCTTAATGGTATGTCTGATAGCGATTGTCGAAATTACGCCAAAATTGTTGACAAATTGGAGCTTCGGTTTGGTGTTGAAAAGCAGCGTGAGTTACACCAAGTGCGCCTTCATAACCGTCGCCAACTGGAAAACGAAAGTGTTCAAACTCTTGCTGCTGATATTCGCTCTCTGTCAAGTTTAGCTTATCAGGACTTATTTCCGGACACTCAAGAAAGATTTGCCGTCCAGCACTTTATTGATGCACTCAAGGATCGAGACGACAGGCTTAAATTACGTAGAGATAAACCTCGCACCTTAGATGACGCCCTGTCGCTGGCTTGTGAACTTTGAGGCGTTTCGTCTCGTGGATGGAGATGAGCGGAGAAGCTCTCTTCAGGTTCGCTCTGTGGATGAAGTTGATAAAGAGCCTGATTTGCTTAAAGCTCAGCTGGATATGTTACGTTCTGACATTCGAATGCAACAACAACGTCAGGAGACTCACCAAGTTGCTATGCAACAGTTCGTTGAGCAGATACAGCAGCTCTGCAAGTCGCTCTCCTTGAGCACCTCTGTTAGCCAACAGCGATTACCTCCTTCACGTTACTCCAACCGCAATGTTCAATGCTGGAATTGCAAAGAATTTGGCCATTATCGTCGTAACTGCCCCAAGTACAAGTCACTTGACCGAGCCAACCCGGGCTCGGGAAACGGCCGCAGGGTGTCGCCCACGGGCCAGGGGGATGCCTAAATGCGAGTGATGTTGGCCCCACAAGTGGTACTGATGTGAACAATGCATTCTCTCAGCAATTGCCAAACCAGGAAATGACATGTCCTGATACACCCATGGAACGGTCACATGTTAATGAAAATTTACGAGGCCTTTACTTGCCAGGCTTTCTTGGAGGATCTCGTGTCATGTGGTTGATAGACACTGGTGCCGCACGTTCAGTTTTGTCGTTCGAGGTTTATAATTCTTTACCTGCTAGCGTTAAGTTCAGTTTGAGTTCAGAACATTCTGCCATTGCTCTTGCTAACGGTCAACAAGCGAAAACTTATGGTGTGGGACATGTTGTCATGCGCCTTGGTAACAGCGAGTTTCAAATGCATGTAATTGTTGCTGAGATTGAGGATGAGGGCATTTTGGGTATGGACTTCTTGTCACAAGTTGATTCACGTTTTGACATTGCGACAAACCAACTTGCAATTAATGGTGAAGTGTTTGATTGTTCTGATTTCAAGAACCAACCCCTTAGTTCCAGATGTATGGTTCGACGGTCAACCATGATTGAACCTAACACTGAGGTGATCGTCCCAGTCCTTGTTCACAAGCGTTCATTTAACTTAGACCCAAAGTCGTCTCAATCAGGCACGCGATTGTTAGAACCATGTCTGAACTCACATTGGCAACAAAATGGACTTTATGTTGCAAGGACTCTGGTTGATGTTACGGAGGACAGGGTGGTCCCCTTACGTGTTTTCAATGTTTCTAATGAAGTGTTTCATTTGGCTGCTGAGACTGTGATTGCCCTCGCTAAGCCAGTTACTGATGTCACCTCACTAGAGCTTAATCAAGAGAACCATGACGGTGCTATGGGCCAAGCTAGAGTAATAAATGAACATGTGTCACAAGGAGCAGTCGATATGACGCTACCGAAGGCCTTGCAGGAACTACTTGAGAGAAGCACAGATAATTTAACTGACAGTGAAACTGAGAGACTGCAGGAGTTGTTATTCAATTACCAGCATGTGCTCTCAATTTCAGACGGGGACTTAGGCACCACGCACATGGTCCAGCACAGAATCGATACGGGCAATGCTCTCCCAATCCGAATTCCACCCCGACGAACTTCACCGTGGAAACATCATGAGATAGAACGACATGTTACTAACCTCCTACAGCAGGGCAAGGTGAAGGAATCGTCCAGCCCCTGGTCTTTTCCGGTTGTGCTTGCGACCAAAAAGGACGGTAGCCAAAGGCTGTGCGTGGACTACCGCCAGCTTAACGCAGTGACGATAAAGGATGCCTTCCCCTTGCCTCGGGTTGATGATTCTCTTGCTGCTTTGAGTGGTTCCCGATGGTTCTCAACTTTGGATCTTGCCTCAGGTTACTGGCAAGTGGCGATGGATGCGGGCACCCAGGAGAAAGCAGCATTCGTAACTTCAAGCGGCCTGTATGAGTGGACCGTGATGCCTTTCGGCCTCTGCAACGCACCCAGCACCTTTGCCAGATTGATGCAACTTGTTTTGAAGGGCCTACATTGGAAGATTTGTTTGATCTATCTTGATGATGTGATAGTTATGGGACGCACGTTTGAAGAGGAATTAGAGCGGTTGAAAGAAGTGTTCGAGCGACTAGCCAGGGCAGGACTAAAACTTAAGCCAAAGAAGTGTTTTCTCTTCCAGAAACGGGTTTCGTACCTCGGACATGTGGTCACGGAAGAGGGCATTGCTGCAGACCCTGAAAAGGTGGAGCAAGTTCGCACCTGGCCCATCCCAGAAAACAGCACGGAGGTCAAAAGTTTCCTTGGACTTGCCTCTTATTACCCGCCGATTCATCCCTGATTTCTCGACCATAGCTAAGGCGTTGTACAAGCTAACGGAAGTCAAGGCGGAATTTGTTTGGACAGAGCAATGTCAGCTGGCTTTTTACAGCCTGAAGGGTTTACTTACGTCCGGTAGAGTCCTAGCCTACCCTACTAGGGAGGGAAGGTTTGTGCTAGACACCGATGCGTCAGACCATGGCATTGGGGCAGTGTTGTCACAGTTTCAGGACGGGGTGGAAAAACCCATTGCGTTTGCAAGTCGGACATTGTCCAAGTCTGAAAGGAACTATTGTGTGACGCGTCGTGAGCTCTTGGCAATCGTTGAGTTTGTTAAGCAACACCGGCATTACCTACAAGGTACAAGATTCTGCATTGGAACTGATCATGCCCCTTTGCGTTTTGTTGCCCAGGCCAAAGATCCCGAGGGACAGCTTGCACGTTGGATTGATTACTTGAGTACTTTCGACTTCGAGATCCAGTATCGACCAGGACAGCGACATCTGAATGCTGATGCACTTTCCCGTAGGCCATGTGATGTCCGTTGTAAGTGGTTTAAGGGTTGGAAGTCACAGGAGCGAGCGTCATCTGTTGATGTGGGTGTTCAGACTGTGATGCATGTCCCTTGCCAGGACATCAAACAACCTGTGAATTGTGAAGAACCTGCTGGTGCTCGTTGTGCCATTGTCAAGTTAGAACCAACCTGGACTTCAACTTTCTTGAGGGAACAACAGGAAGCTGACTTTGATCTCAAGGTTATTATTGGTTGGAAGGAAGCCGGCAAAGAAAAACCATTCTGGGAAGATGTGTCGCCTCAGAGTTGTGCTGTGAAGACGTTGTGGTCACAGTGGGACCGGCTGCTCTTCAGAAACCGTGTACTTTGCCGCAAATAGGAAAGCGACGGAGGTGACCAGATTATTGACCAGGTCATTCTTCCCGAGAGTCTTCGACAGCCTGCCCTTGAAGCTCATCATAGTCATACGACTGCAAGTCATCGTGGTATACGAAAGACCCTAGGCGCCCTTCAATCTCGTTATTACTGGCCAGGACTTACTTCAGCAGTTCACAGATTGGTCGCCAGGTGCCATGTCTGTGGGTCTAAGAAAACCTGGGGACGCAAACGTCGTGCTCCGTTAAAGCAGTACTTGGTGGGAGCTCCCATGGAACGAATCGTGATTGACATTCTTGGCCCACTGCCAGAAACCCCGCGAAAGAACAAATCTATACTCGTGGTTAGTGACTATTTCACTAAATGGACTGAGAGGTATCCAATACCCAACCAGGAGGCCACCACTGTTGCAGAGAAGCTTTTGAGCGAGTTCATTTGTCGCTTCGGTGTACCCCGTCAGCTTCATAGCGACCAAGGAACTAACTTTGAGTCAAAGGTGTTTGCTGAAGTCTGCAGGCTGTTAGACATTGAGAAGACCGGCACCACTCCCCTGCATCCCCAGTCTGACGGACAGGTGGAGCGTTTTAACAGAACCCTCATTGAAATGTTACGTGGGAAGATCCAGCAAGACCAGACAGACTGGGATCTACAACTTCCAACTTGCATGATGGCCTATCGAGGTGCTGTTCATGAGTCAACCGGGGTTTCACCTAACCTCTTGATGTTGGGTAGGGAACTGGAGGTTCCCCTGGATGTCATAACTGAGAGACCACCTGATGCATCACCACTCAAGACGGACTATGCTGAAGCTGTTCAAAAGAGATTGGCTAGTGCGCATGATTTGGCCAGGCGTCATTTGAACAAGGCAGCTGTACGGCAGAAGCGAAACTACGACAAACGGCTTTCCGGGAGACCATTTGTTATTGGTGATTCTGTTTGGCTGCATAACGTTCGGAGCAAAAAGGGGATAAACGCCAAACTTGACTGTCCTTGGGAAGGACCCTACCTTGTAATATCGGTGCTATCGGATGTGGTGTACCGTACTCAGAAGAGCCGAAAGGCTAAGCCTAAGGTCGTTCACTCAGACAGATTAAAGCCTTACCTGGGACCCCCACTGGAGAGATGGATTCCGAAAAGGCAGACGCGGTTATTGAGCCCAAGAGGAGAGGAGAGACAGACATCGGTTGTGGATTCAAATTGCGTGGACGAGGGACAGTCAGCTCCGGTTAACGCGAGAGAGGGAGCTGAGCGCGACGAAACGGAATCTACGGAAGCAGACAAGGATGATGTTTCCCCGAGACTCCAGAATGCTGATTTCATTGGGGATGATAGCGGTGACAAGCCTGAGGATGTGAGGAAACCTGAGCCTCGTGCGAAATTGACGACCTCTGTTGCACATGACCTCAACCAGGCGGGTGTCGGCTGTCAAACAGCTGAGTCGACTGTACAAGGTCTACCTGGGATTGATTCAAGTGTTTGTGGGAGACCGTCAAGGCAGCGAAAGCCACCAAGTCGATTCGGAACTTGGGTGACTGATTAACCTGAAATGTTCAGGGACTGACAAGTATTATAGGACAGTCTAGGCAACTAGACAAGTATAAGTTAATGCCTTTCATTACCTAAGAACTGTAGACGCTTGGCACGTTGATGAACGAACATTTGAGACTTGATCTGTTGCGTTTAATTGAAGTTGTTTTTGGAAACTATCTGTGAAATAGTGGACCAGCACTGGGACAGTGCTTAAATAGGGGGTGGGGGAAAAGTGTGACGCGAGGCAAACCCCGCGCGTACCCCTCTAAGTAAGTCACATGACATGGCGTAATAACCATGTGCGAAGAAATGATTGTGAGACTAGTCGAGTAGCAGATTAAACATGTGTTGTTCTCTTAACGCCGTGTTTTAACTGGGAATCGTAACGTTACAGTAGTCTGTCTTGTAATTTTAATCGCTGTGCCGTTTGTTTCCAGTCGTTCAGTGAACATTGCTTGCAGGAGTACTCAAAATGCCGCTCGAATCAAACGCTTTTGAAGATTACCCAATAAATAAAAAATAAACATAATAAATTCTTCATTATGTTGGAGCGTAACTCTATTAATGTTTATTCAAACACTCGACCACATCTCGCACTGCAAAAATGAGAACCGGCTGGCCGTATAGGTGATTTTGGAAATTTTTTAACGGTTTAGGTAAAAGCCCACGAATGCTTCGATGGTCCTGAATATTGAACGAGTGCAATTTTTATTGCAAATTGTGAAATACTGCATTCTGTCCGAGGTCTGTATGATAAAAACAGTGCCTCATAGTACTGTTTCACCTCAGATGTGATGTATAAATGGTATAAAGGGTTGGTTTACACGCACCCAGATTTGTTAGCACGATTTTGTAAACTAAACTTGTCGAACGCAAAAAATTCGGCCTGATTTTTTCCAGACCTAATTAATCTACGGTGATCAAGAGCCATTATGGCTCTTAAATGTGATCGAAGATGATTGCCAGTTTTTAGGTGTACATATGAGGCAATCAAGTCGATGTAAGATTTGGTTCACTCTTGGGCTGTTTGCGAATTTTTTTTCTCTAAGATCACTTAGCCTTTCCCCCAAAAGTCACATGAATGTGCTCCAAAGTTAACTGAATTGTGAAATAGAAGTTTATTGTTTGATTTAAATTATAAATTTATTAATGGGAGCCACGCTTTTAGCCCTGGTTAAATCTATATATGTGACCCTCCACAGGAATTTGATGCTAAAGGTGAAAGCACGCTCACCACACGCTTGCACGACACGCTTAGCGTTCCGTAGATCACGGATATGCGTATATTAAATTGAAAAAACAAAGACGGACACACTTGCCTTTGTTTTTGGAATTTGATCGTAACCGTAGGCATTTGAAAATCACGACTTAATGGTGGTCTAGCCTGGAATTAACGCGAGATCAGTGTAAACCAATTCCTCCGGCTGTCGGCTGTTGACCGGAATCGCAAAGAGGCCTGCTATCGCGTGCGAGGCACTGAAGTTATGTCGCCTGAAAATTATAGTTATGCCACCGGAATATTTATTAGCAGTAATGCACAGAGAAATGAAGTTGAATAAGTTAGTTTATTAGATTTCTTTCAGCCATGCTGAGACGAACGACGGTAATTAAATCGGAGAAACAAAAACTGCCTAGAATTTTCTATAGTTTGAGGAAGGCTAAACATTTCTAGATGACCGTTCCATGCATGTACAATTTTTCGAAGCTTCTCAAATAAATTCCTTACGATTTTCTGAAGTTTAATTTTTTTCATTTCACTCCCCAAGTTAAGCTATTTTTCGTAGAGAATTAAGGAATCCCAAAATTTTCGGAACCGCAAATACGATAAAATTCTCACTTTCCTAAAACTTTCAATTGGAAGCTGAATTTTTCGGGAAAATAATGCTGAAGCCCTTGTAATTTGGAAAAGACTGAAGTTGTCCTAGGATGCTAGGATGCATTTAGGAGGAAATCGCCGTCAGGTGCCCCTGACGAACGAAGCTCTGTCAATCATAATTTATGTGAAGATATCTCGTTACGCTATGCTAAGACGAATCAAGCGCTGTAAACGTGTACTATATCTCGTTCTTCACAGGACGAAAAAAACCAGAATTGGGCGACAAAACTCATAATATCAGGCTTTGGACGACATCACTTTCGAGCAGCTTGACCGTCACCCCTTTAGATCGAGCTCGATCAATTAATTCAATGACCGATCTTTATCGAATAAATGATTGCCTTCAAGAATTTCACTCGGACTACTTTTAATTTAGTTCTTTTTCTCTTTTCTCAGTGTGTGACTGACAGAGATTTAATTCTCGGATCGAGCTTTAGTACTCTAAACACGCCGTATCATCGTGGCAAAAACAAAGAATCAAACAAAAAAGCACCATACAATTTCGGAATTCTGTTAAAAAAGACATTTTTTCTTTACTATTCAAAAAGCGCTAAAACAGTCATTAATTAACTGATGTTTGTCTCCGTTGCACGCATCACTGACGCATGAATGTGTTATCAATCGTTTCTTGAGTACAGAAACAGTTAATCAGTTACGATGGAGCGTTCACGAAATGGCACAATGATGAGTTTAAATTCGCAAGATTTTGAAAATTTGGAAAGCGTCGAAGAACTGTATTTTGGTGAGCGAGAAACTGAAGATAATCAAGAGCGTGCTTTCACCTTTAGCATTTTAAAAAATCCAGTGGAGGGTCACAAATAGTTTGTAAATTGCATATAGGGTTGTATTACTATTACTAATCTTTATAACATTTTTATTTTTTTTATACAATATCCTTTCATAGTCCGATAGTTTTGCTTTTTATATTGTAGATTTCAATTCAATTTTTTTATTTGTAGTATATTATAGATTTTCATTTTTTTATATTGTAGTTTTTAACAGGTGAAGGGCCACTAGGTGGATACACTGTTAATAAACCATTATTATTATTATTATCATTATTACAGGTAATCACATGATTTCGAGTGCAATTTGGGATGAATCAGCACAAGTAAATTTTTCAAAGGTTAACCAAATTGTAATTAATTTTGTGGTCTTTGAAAAATTTACGACTGCTTATTTATCCCAAATTGTACGAGAATAACCGTCTGATTACTTGTTAATAATATACATGCAAAAGTTTGACTTGCTTTTCCTCTTTTACGTGTCACCGAGCCACCCCTCCTTGTTCCCACCTACAAATGACAACCTCGACCACGATTGGTCTAGATTTTGATAGGTGAAGATTGACGGACAAAAACCACTAGAAGCTTGAAATTTGTTTACCGAAAAGTGAAGCCTTTTGTTGTTTTACGTTTTTAACTTTTCAAGTTATTCCACTGCTGCCACGGAAAACCCAAACCCTACGGAAAACCCTACAACTGCGATCAAGATTATATTCCTTTGCTTTTTTTTGTATATTTGGGTTTTGGTTGAGGAAAGCGTCGCAACGGGGATTTCAGCGATGGCTGTTTTTGTCTCGTTTAACGGTGGGCATAATTCTTTTAAGTTTCAGTCATACGGTACGGTGACTCATAAGATAAATGTGCACAAGCTTTTAAACAGATTTCTGACTGTAAATGAAAAGGACAAGTTCTAAAGAAAACTTAGTCGTCGGCCGTACGGTCCTACTCGGGACCATAGTTACGTAGATACTCTCGTTTGCAGGGACGATTGTAAACAGTCAAGAGCCATAATGGTCCTATTATGGCTCTTGAAACAGTCTACTCACTACCATATAAAAATTTAATATTTCAGAATTAGACATAATTTTTATTAACTTCGCTTATTTTTTTAACTTCTTATCTAAAACATAAATTTCTGCTTTAATTTCACTTTTTTATAGATTCCCAGTCAACAGCATATTCGGACAGCGCTAAGAAGCAAAAAGGAGATCTATCAACAGGTGATTGAAAGGGTATCAATACAAACTAGGAATAACATATTGTTTATTTTGCAAATAGATAAGTTAAAACATTTGGTTATTGTTCTACTCTTTTTGACCCCACGTCTTAGCTTTCAGATTAATATATAGATTTAGCCAGGGCTAAAAGCGAAGCTCCCATTAATAAATTTATAATTTAAATCAAACAATAAACTTGTAATCCACAAATCAGTTAACTTAAGGGCACATACGTGACTTTTTAGGGAAAGCTAAGGCTAAGTGATTTTAGAGTGAAAAAAAATCTTACATCGAATTGATAGCCGTATAATATACACCCAAAAAGTAGCAATCATCTTCGATCACATTTAAGAGCCATAATGGATCTTGATCACAGTAGATTAGGCCTCGAAAACGAATTCTTGGAAAACAAATCAGGCCTAATTTGTTGCATTTTACAAGTTTACTTAACAAAATCTTGCCAACAACCCTGGGAGCGTGTAAACGAACATTTCATACTTTTTATACATCACATCTGAGGTGAAACAGTAATATGAAGGGCTGTTTTTATCATACAGACCTCAGACAAAATGCAGTATTTCACAATTTTTCAAGACAAATTGCACTCATTCAATATTCAGAACCGTACGACTCACGCTGGGCTTTTAACAAAACCGTTCAAAAAATTTCCAAAATCACCTACACGGCCAGCCGGTTCTCACTTTTGACAAGCGCCAAATTTTCATTGAACATTAAAAGAGTTACGCTTCAACATAATAAAGAATTTATTGTGTTTATTTTTTTTTATTTAATGGTTTTATAACGATGTGTAATCTTAAAAAGCGTTAGATACGCGAGGCATTTTGAGTACTCCTGCAAGCGACGTTTATGAACGACTGAAAATAAACGGCAAAGCGATTAAAATTGCAAGAAACTACTAACAATCAATAAAAGAAATGTAATTCGGTAAAACATTTACAGAGACAACAATTTTCATTCACGAAGACAAGTATTAAAGCACCTCTAAAAATCCTGAGTCTTTAAGCTTAAGCTTAAAGCTTTTAGCCGGCTTCTTGGTGTTCACCGTTTTCAAAGATGAACTCGAGGCAAGAAAATCGCTCAAAGCTTTCTTTCTACAGCCAAAATTATAACTAAATACTCTTCGGAAAGTTTTTTTTTCCGTTTATGGAGAGAAAATATCGACTAAAGGCTTTTTAAAGCTCTGTAAGCTTATATCAAACCTCATACTAGATCAGATCATCGTCTCAGATCTTAATAGACCTTGTCACGGTTTTCGACGCCATCTTGACGAGTAGGCAAACGCGTGAGAAATTACAGTGTTTGTATGAGAATCTAATGTCGAATAATTTCCATAAAACGGCTGTTCTGAAAAAAATATCAATTGTAAACTAAAGCTACAAAGCAAAGGATTGTCCTAAAAAATTTTGGGGGCGTACCTGTGCTTAAATTTCTCCAGAGGCTTGCTTTAGATTTTCCATATATTTGTCTGTAATTTTCCCGGGACTTTCTTACAGACAGATGTATAGGAAATTTTAAAAAGTGGTTCTAGGTCTTCTAGTGCATGTAACGCCCTCAATTTTTTTCAGGAGAATCCTCAGGAGTGAAGCTTTATTTTACAAATCATATTTTTTTCAGAACAGCCGTTATACGGAAATTATTCGACATTAGATTCTCATACAAACACTGTAATTTCCCACGCGTTTGCCTACTCGTCAAGATGGCGTCGAAAACCGTGACAAGGTCTATACAAACGTGCATAAACTAGCCTCATAAACTGCGCTCGACTTCATGAAATTAGATGTAAAAAACCAAACACATACACTGTATGCAATAATTACTCAGGCTTACCATTCGAGATGCAGCTCCTGAAAGCTATCCAGTAAGGCCAGAATCGCTTGAGGGACTTTTCGACCACCCGCATCCGGCAAGGTGAAAAACGAAAACGATGTTATCCGAAATCGGATTTCCAGCTTTGACAAGCGGCGCATTTCTCAACCAAAAATTCAATAAACAAACCAGCCATGAATAACAGAAAACTGTTGATAGCAGCTGTATTTCATTTTATGCGTCCGGTGGAAAAAGACAGTAAAAAACATCACAAGTTGACCAAAACCTCTGTCAGCTTCAGCTGTCAAAGTAAACAAAATTCAAGATGCTGCATAAATTTTCCGCATGAACTCACCTGTCAAATTTTGACCAATCAGAGCATAAAAATTGGACGGTCGTAGAGCGTGATCAATGCGTGACTATGGTGAGAAAAGTGAAAAGCCTTTGTCTTCCCTGCTTGTATTTTTAAATGACTAGCTGAATTTTCGCGTCCGAGATCAGTTTGAAATCAAAATGTTAATGGCGCGGGGCCATAGTGACATTAACACAACACTTTCTGTCATCATGTCATTATTTTGGTGCCGTTCTCTTTGCCTTTGTATTTCTCTTTCGCGTTGCCTTTGTCTATTCATTCTAGCTCTGTCCCGTTCTGCTTGCCGGCGTTTTTCACTATAATTTTCTCTCCTTCTTCTCGCCCTGACTCTTTATACTTGCCAACTTTCTTCGCTAAAATTTTGTCTTCTTCTTCTACTTCTAACGCGCTCTCTTTGGCGATCGTCTTCGCTTGCTCTACGCGTGTTGACTCTTGCTCTCTGCCGTTCACCTTCTCTTTGCTCTCTGCTTAAAACCTGTCGTCTACACGCTATAATCTCTCTGTTGTTGTTTGTTGACATAATAGATTTCGTAAGTTGTAATAAAAAGTTATAACGGCTCTGTCGAAAAATGTTTTTGCCATAAATTTCCTTTGAAATTTCTTTTTTCAAAACCAGTTGCGCGATATAATTGCGCGGCGTTGCGCCATGCGATTTCCCGCCAAAAAATCTCTACTTTCCCCTACCCCAAGAATCCATACGGACTACTTTCCACTACCCGGAAAGTCCGTACGGACGGACGTACGCTGACGTCATAACCAAAATTTCTCGGATGGATAGTTTACCAAATTATCTTAGTTATGGTGGTCCGCTCGCGCGCGCTTCGCGCGCGCAAGGAGCTCCGCTATTAGCCTGTTCCAGGCGTTTAGATAGTGGAGAGCAAGTTAAATCGTACGCGGCGAGCCCAAAAAGAAACACGAGGGGAGACTGGGGCGGGACCGAGAAAACCGTCCCTTTTCCCGCCCTATTTTTCCCTCGTCAATGGAACAGGCTATCAGATTATGTAGGAAGCTTGCACTTCAACTCAGCCTGCGCCAGTTTCCGTCGTTTAAAGGGGAAGGATAAGAGGCAGTTCTCCTGCTTCTTCATTAAAAATGAACTAAATAAATTACCAGTCTTTTCAAATAGACCAATAGCCGGTTTTGCCTGTGCGCCTCCACATCTCCCAAAGCGATGCATGCTGGGGTCCCAGTGGCGGATCTAGGGGAGGGGTCCGGGGGGGCCGCCCTCCCCCCTTATTTGTAGACCAAACTAAAGCCCGGCCCGAAGGCCGGGATACTTGCATCGCCCGCGCTCATACGGGCAACCCTACAAAATCCCGCCTAAGATCTTGCTCTTGCTTACATGTTGTACTTTAACTAATATGTAGCCACTTAGTGTGTAAAGTTAACGTTGAATATAATATAAAGTTAAAAATAAGTCGTTTAAAACATACCATGTACGCGCCTTACCTTAGTGATGATAAATTATTAAAAGCACAAATGAGCAGGAAAACAGCACCACTGTTTTTCCACCAGTTGACTCAGCTTTCCTGTTTCACACTTGTCATAGCAGGTGGCACCGCTGACCAATAGCTACCACAGGCCTACTAACAAATTCAGACAGGTTCAAGTTGTCCCTCTCGATCACCGCTCGTTGATCCTCGTTGCGTCAAGGACCTCTCCAGCGTCATCAGTTAAATCCGGTTACCTTCTTTGGTCAAAAATAAATCCAAAGCATTCTCGTAGACAGATAAACCCAAAATACTTGTTTCCAGCGTTTGAGTTGTTAGATTGGAGAGATGCTTGCAGAGTGGAAAAGCATTGTAGACTGAGAAATTCTTTTAGCTCAAGTTACTTTTTTAATTGTTCATGTATTTATGTATAAAAGTATTTACTTAAAAGTAGGTTGAGTTTGATCGTCCAGGTGAACGTAGTCCTGAATAGGACTGTAGTTGTTGACAGTGACTGACGTTTCGACGACCTCTGCGGTACTCATCTTCAGAGTCAAAGTGAGTTGTATCACGTCAGTTGATGGTATTATACTCTGGTTATTGATCTGATTGGTCATTTACGTCGCGATGTCAACTGACGTGATACAACTCACTTTGACTCTGAAGATGACCACCGCAAAGGTTGTCGAAACGCCATTCACTGTCAACAACAACAGTCCTATTCAGGACTACGTTCACCCGGACGATCAAACTCAACCTACTTTTGAAATGACTCCTGGGCTCAAACCTTTCACACTATTTACTTATTTATTAATATATTTATTTTAGTATTTTGTTTTTTTGGTCTTCGGATATTTATCTCTAGGTTTGTCATGCTTTGTTGTAATACATGTGACCTTTAGTTTAGCTAAAGTAAGCCGGCGGGAGAAGAGTTGTCTCCGTAGTATGGGCTATTAACAGTAAGGGTGGAGAGGAAAGTCAGAAATTTGGTTTGATCAACTAAATATTTCTGTGATTAACAGTACTAGTTAAGTTGCTGAGTTTCATTTCTTTTTTTTTTATTATTTTTACTGATACCTAAAGAAGAGCCAGCTTCAAAAGTAAGTAACACGACATCGAGCAGCAATCCCAGTAATGCTGATCATGCAGAAGACGCGACTTCGGGGATTTCAAATGACGGTATAATCTTGTTGTTATGTATGAATTTAAGCTCTTTCGATAATAAGTCTATAAAATATTTCTAACATTAGAAAATAGGTTTTGAAAATCAAATGACTTCCAGATTCCAGACGTGACCAACGTTCAAAACAATTTTTTTTACTGCTTGGGTACTAAGGTTATTAAATTCAATTAACAATTTTCTTTTTTGTGCAGAAACGAAGTGTCGAAAAACTGACAGTAACCCTCCAGAGGTAGATGTTGCTGTGCTTACAAATAAAGATCTTCCTAAAACATCAAAGCGTTTGGATCTTGAGCAACTGCCAATCGATATTCTGTTGTTGACAGTAGAGGACTGTGAGTTTTTAGCCTGTCTTTCCCTCCTGACGGGTTTCTCGAGGATGTTTCAAAAAGATCTTGGCGACGTGTACATCGGAAATATAGGGGAGATGAAAATCGCTGTAATGAAGTGCAGAATGGGTGCGGCTGGTCCTGGAGGTGCAGCAGGTGTTGTTAGAGATGCAGTCAAGGCCTTAACGCCCAAGGCGGTGTTTTGTGTTGGTTACTGTGGGGGCTTACAACCAGTCGAAGTCAAGCTAGGAGATGTGGTTATTTCCGAGGCACTAATCACATACGCTCCTTCAAAAGTCACCAAAGATGGTATTGAAGAACGTGGCTACCGAGTTCCGCTTAAGCCCAATCTTGCCAAAGTAATACTCAATGCTGCTGCTGGATGGAGCCCACCGTTGCGGGATCCAGCAGAATTAGAGGTGGCACAGGTACGAGGTGCGTTACTGAGTGGACCACAAGTGGTTGATGACAGTGATTTGCGTGAAGCACTTCTCAGCCGATTCCCTGGGGCAATTGCTGTCGAGATGGAGGCCGAAGGTAAAGTAAAATAACATTTTATTACAAAAATTCATCAATCTTCATTTAAGTGACGTAGAAATGGGCGTAACGGTTATCCAAAAAGTTCCGATCCATTGATAATAATGCATTCCCCGTATACACCAACGCTCAAAGGTGCTTTAACGTTGTTTAGTTTCCTAAAGTTTAAATCCTGTTTTAATTGGTTTAAAATGTGTACTATTAAGACTAACTAGAAAATAATCGTAGCAGCTTTTGATTACTTTCTAACTATCGCTTGACGTTCGGAATTATTTATCACAAGCTGTATTAAAATAGACAACATTTTAACGTGTTAAAACTTTGGTGTGAACGAGACACAAGGTTTGAGGCGTTTTTAAACCAATGGAGAATTTAAATAAACTGGCTTCAATTCTGTTCTAAACCATACGCTTTAAAAAATATATATTTGGGAGCTTGAGCAACTACGAAGGCGCTGAGGGCAATTGGAACGTCGAAAAAGGAAAACATTAGCTGATTCAAACAAAAACCCATCATACTTTAGATCTTTGGTCAAATTCCAGATCCTTCTCTTGGAAATGTGTTATCTACCACATGTTATCTTCACTTTCAGGTGTTTACTCAGCAGCACATGACCTGAACGTTGAGTGGATAATTATAAAAGGCGTGTCGGACTTCGCAGATGGCAAAAACTCAGAGAAAAATGCATGGCGACCCTTTGCGAGTATAATGGCTGCATCAGTTGTTGCTCATATCCTCAGTAATCCCATCATTTTTGAAGACTGGCCTCACTACAATAATGGAAAGACGAGTCTACCTCCCTCCTCAGGTGACTACCAAACTGACGTGTTTAATTTTTCAAATGATAATTATAAAACTAACAACCAACAGTGTTCCAAGATACAACAGACCAAGACGCGACTGATTCTACACCTGAGTGTGGCTTTTTTTTTTTAATTTAAAAATAAAGAGGCCACAATAGCTGCAAAGCTTTTAACTGATTCATTCCAGAGACGCACTAGTCAATACAAAAGTAATCGCTTCTGAACGGCAAACATCGAAAAGTTCAGTATTCTAATGTTGAATTGCTTACACACTATACTTTATTTCATGCACATCATTTTACCATCTCCACCCGCAAATAGCAAAAGCTAGACGAGGCGGGCGGAGAGGAAAGGTTACAGCAGTCATAACAGATAATATTATAATTGTAAAGTAACTAAATAAACTATCTGGATAAATAAGAACTACTGAAAAACAAGCTAAAGTTACAAAATATATAGTCTTACAGAATGATATTACAATCAAATTTACTACTAACAGAACTATAGATTATATACATTGAGTCGAGGATGCAGAATTTGCCATTTTTTGTAGGAGAATGGGCACTTCACATAATCGTCCTCTGCTTCCATTATCGAGAGCAAAAAGTCATGAAAATTTTTCTTAAAAGCTCCTTTGGAGAGTTGACGAAATTCGTTCGGAATTGCGTTCCAAAGTTTAGCTCCAAACCTGGAAAAAGAATCTTGATTTAGATTCAGTCTTGAAGTTTGGGCATCATAATTTCCAGACGAAGAAAACCTGGTCTCATGCTTGTGCTTTGAATTAGCTTTAGTGAAGAAATCACAGATGTTAGACGGAGCATTCATGCAGGAAACGTCAAACATTATAGAAGATACTTTTTCAGCATGTAACATTTGTAAGGGTAGAATGTTCGAGGAAATAAATAAAGGCACAGCATGGGCTCTAGGTTCAGAAAAGTACATCAAACGAAGGACTCGTTTTTGAAGCACGAGAATTTTTTGTAAATGGGTTTTGGCAGCTTGACCCCAAGCCGCCAAACCATATGTCAGATGAAGCAAGATCAATGATTGATAAATATTTAAAAGGGTTGTACGTGGGACGAAGTGCCTAAAACGGGCAACAACACCAACAGTTCTGCTTATTTTTAATGCAACATTATTAATTTGAAATTTCCAGCTTAAGTTGCTGTCCAATAGGACGCCAAGATATTTAACATGGTCTTCGCACTGAAGCGTGGTACGAACTTGAGTACAGTTATCGATCATTTCAATGTTAACCGAGTAGTTCAACTTACGTTGACATGGACGAAAGATAACATAGTTTGACTTCTTAGCATTCAGCGTTAACTTATTTTCATTGAGCCAGTCAGAGACTTTGAGCAGTTCGCTATTGACGGTTTTTTCAAGAGATTTCAAATTAGAGTCAGCATACAACAAGCTCGTGTCATCAGCAAAGAGATAGAATGACAATTTCGCTGAAGAGTTGTGAATATCTTTAATATAGATTAAGAATAACAGAGGACCAAGCACAGACCCCTGCGGGACACCACATGAGATCATACATTCGGTAGCTAAGTTAAAACCCACTTCAGTTACTTGTGAACGACCGAGAAGGTACGAGGCAAACCAAGCATTGATAATTCCTCTGATGCCATAATGATTAAGTTTTTGAAGCAAGATTAAATGGTCGACGGTATCAAAGGCCTTCTTTAAGTCTAAAAAGATCCCGCAAGTGAAACGTTTTTGGTCCATATTGTTTTGTATGACATTAACAATATCAATAATGGCATGTTGCGTGGAATGGTTTTCGCGGAAGCCATACTGTGACTTAAATAGAATATCGTTTTTACCAAGATAGGATTTGAGGCGGTGGTACATTAATTTTTCAAATATCCGATTGAAAATAGACAGTAATGATATCGGACGATAATTACCAGGCTCAGTCTAATCGTCATTTTTGTACACAGGAACAACTTTTGCCTTTTTTTAGTTTGGATGGAAAGATGCCCTTTTGCACAGATGATGATGGGGAGAGGGCCCGAATCGAACAAGAGTAGAGACCGTAAGTTTTATTTTTAGGGATCAAAAGTATCTCACGCTCAATTTCCTCTGGCGTAACTGGATCAAAGAAGAAAGAGCTTGGATTATAATTGGGAGACAAGTATTCGGTAAAATAGCGAGATGAACGAGGTACGCGTGAAGCTAGGTTTTTACCGACCGAAGAAAAGTAGTTATTGAAGATGTTAGAAATCTCAAGAGGATCATTAGTTAAGCTGTTATCATCAGGACGTTTAAGGGAAGAAATGACTTGTCTTCTATTCTTTTTGTCGTTAATTAGCCTATTTATTCCATTCCAGGTGTTTTTCATATTGTTTAGATTTTCAGCAAAGAACGCATGATAATAATTCTTTTCACTCAGCCGAGTAAGACTAGAAATTTTATTTCTGTATATTTTATAATTTACAAGATCACCCGATTGGAGGAGAGAATTTTTTATTTTGATGGATTTTCTAAGGCCACTAGTTATCCATGGTTTAGAGAACTGCTTAAGCTTGCGATTCGAAACAGTCTTTAAAGGAGCATGTTTGTCAACGAATGCCAATAGTGTATTGTAAAAGTAAGAAAAAGCTGTATCGACATCAAACTGATCGCTAAAGTTAGTTTGGCTTGCCAAAGCATCAGAGAGTTCAGTGTTGAACTTGCTCCTGGGATAACCAGAAAAGTCTCTGCGTTTTTGCTTTCCGCGTTTTGGCCGCTAAATAAAATTGTGAGAAATACAGAATTGTGAATAGTGATCGCTTATGTCAGAGATAATATTCCCACTGGTAATTTCAACATCAACTTTGTTTGTTAGAATATTATCAATTAGGGTGGCTGAGTTGTTGTAAACACTTGTTGGTTTGTCAATAGTTGGGATAAATGAAAAGCTTTGAAGAGAAAGTAAGAAGTCCTGAGCATAACAGGAAGTTCGCGGCATGAAGGAGGTTTATGTTGAAGTCGCCCATAATATATATTGATTTTTTTGAGGTAATTAGTCTTTCAAGTTTATCATCAAAATATTCTTGGAAACGTTTGGGAGAGTTATGTTGTCTATATATGATACCACAAATGATGTTACTTTTCTGTGGAAGTTGAATTTCGATCCAAAGTGACTGGAAGGCTTCATCAGATACTTTTTCAATGACAGTCTATTTCAGGGAATCATTAATATACAAGCCAACACCTCCAGAAGCTAGATGTGTCGGCACATATTCGAAAACATATCCAGGTATGCTTGGATTAAAATCCATTTCTTTACCACTGATTGTTTTAGTTTCTGAGACTCCTATAATGCTAAATTCGAAATTTAACTCGTCCAATAGATGAACTTGAAAGTTATCAAGATTTCGCTTAAGACTCCTGATATTATTATGTAATAGAGAGAAGCTCGAATCACTGACACAACTGGGAAGTTCACTTTTAAATTTGTAGAAACTATATGGGGAATAGTATCGACTATGAATACGATGATTATAGAGACTATCACCCGGATTGGTGTCTTCAAGTGCGTTTAGCTTGAAAAGATTAAGGTCATGTTTGAATGGGACGAAAAACCCCTAATAGATTTTCCATAAAAAGCCCTTTAGAATTGGTAATCTCGTACCCAGATCTCTTATTGACGAAGCCGAAGGCGAGATACTGTTTGAAACCCCGTCTAGCATTGGTAAAACAGTTTGGTCTTCCTGATGCAAAAGAGCAGCTCAGCCTTTTCAGGCTGTCGCTCTGTGAGAATAATATTCTCCGAGTGTCTCAGAGGGAAATGAGCTTTATTTTTAAGACATTGTTTAAGCATTTAGTTCCCAGTATTGTATCGCCTTGCTTAAGTGCTCTTTGAAATATTGCAAGTGTTTCGCTTACGTTTGAATTTAACCTCATCCAGATCCAGTGAGGCCTTTAAAACAGCGCGTCAATTTTAAACGTTTTTTCGTAAGGCGGTTTCCGTTTAGCGGTTAGTTATATTTCTGGCCTTGAATGAAGATTCCAAAAAAGCCTTGCGTTTACATAAGCATGAATTGAAATATATGAAATGTGGATGAAGGTATGAAAGTGAACATGATCATCGGATTAAATTCGTTGCCTATTCGGTTGAAAAATAATCTGAAAAATTTTGCAGCATGATCGCAGAAAGTTGGAAGTAATATTATTCATTGTTGGGGAAAATACTCCGCGGCTTTAAAGTAATAATTTCCACAATGTTTTAATTCCGGTAGTGTCGTAACCCTTTCGTTAAGGCAGCTTCTGAACGCACTCGAGAAAACCGCACAGTCCCCGTGAACTCTCACTTTAACTTGCGAGTGAAGGAAAAAGAAAATAGAGTGACATTACTTTCAAACCATTACGGGCTACCTTAGGCCGCGGTTTAAGAAACCATTGGACCTCCATGCCTCTTTCTTGGTGAGTTAACTTAAGAAAATAAGTGCTTTTCCAGTCTGCCTTATATGCTTTATTGAAATTGTTCAAAATAAATTGGGTTTGATAAAAGCGTTGAGCAAACTCAAAATGGCTTAATTATAACGCGATCTTGTAAAATAAATATACGGGCTAAATAACTGGCCCTTAGTGTTAAATAAAAACAAGTAAATAAAATATACAATGGAAAATTCCCCCGCAAGAAGTGCGTAAAATCACTCTTCTCGAAGTACAATAAATTTTAAGAAAAGCCACAAAGACAAATGCATTCTGGTTCGGCAGAAAGACCTCTAATGCGGCTAATTTGTAATTAAGTTCTTTGTTGAACCGAAATCTTGTTGACGTACAAGAATTCAGTTGATGTGAGAATTTGTCACCTCCAAGCAAATGAGCCGTAAAAAGTTGATTACTTCTATAGAGCTCCCCTGCTGATGTTCGAACATCAGCAGGGGTCTACGATTTCAGACCTCTATGAATCTCGTCATGATAGTTCTACCCATAAATCCAGTAGGTCCCACCGTTCACTTTATATACTTTTCAAGCGACAAGGTTTTTTCAATCATATACTATCGCTGCGATCGCTGTGGTAGACCTTTTTCTTTCTCGATAGTTACCAAAAAAGGGTGCCGTTCATAATCATTTACGGTTCCTTTTTGTAGAGGAAATTTATTTAGCTTATAGATAACACGCCTTGCGTGCTTTTGCTCACACTGAAAGCGTGTTGTGCTTTTTCGCACGGAGCTTTTGTTTGAAAACTTTAACACGCTCTTTTGTTCGACTTGCTCACGCTTAATTGTCTCAAGTGTGTGCTCTGAAACAAAAGAAATTGGTAATGAGGCAAAATTGCAAGCGTGCTAAAGCGTGTTAAAATAAATTCTTTTGGTTTTAAGTGAAAGCGTGTCGTGCGCGTGCTTTCACCCTTAGCATTAAAATCCTGTGGAGAGTCACATATTATAACAAAGACGTCTGACGGGCTTCATAACTATAGCTTGTGAACAACCACATCGGAACCAGCTTCTAGAGTACGAGGATTTGCAGTGTGCTAGGAAAATAATCGCCGTTTGCGTGGGATAAGTCTTTTATTAAGGAGTCTGCAATACAGCCATATCAATCCCTCAGTTAAGTGGTGGGTAGATTAAAGCAGGGGTTGTAATAAAAACTGAAGTAGCCAGCAGGTTTGAATAGAGCAACCGACTAATACATTTCCTTGAAACAATAAATATGAACAAAAGCACACGGTACATCATGCAAAATGTAGCAACTATAATAAAGTCACTTATTATTCATTCAATAATTGCTAATTACAAAGATTTATCGAACAGTATATCTAGTTCTTTTTAGTTTTACAACCGTTTTTGCTCTTTAAACCATGTGCGTTTTATCGGCAAACTATAAAGAAACGTGCGAAAAATTGACTGAAAATACAGCAGCATAACATAAAACCAGTGGGCCTATATAAAAACACTTCACAATTACGTTTTCACCCAGATTTAATGGTGTATTTTTTGTTTACAGTGCATTATTAAAACTAGTTGCTTCTTCATTGTTCTTTCTTTATACAAAAATACTATGCTTACACAGAGCCGTCAATAACAGCAGATTCAATGTTCAAAATCTCGACCTTAAATTGTTGGAAAATTAGAATCAATCAAGAGATTCTCGAAGAAATCTATGCTTCCAATTCAGTGATAGAATTTTGTTTCCGTATTTAAGGGCAGCCATCTTTCAAGTTATATAATTTACATGTTCCGAAAGAAGAAGCAACTTGTTTTAATAATGTCGTAAACAAAAAAAGTTTGCGACTCGAGGAGACGGCTGAAATTCTGGCTATTTTTATTCTTGAATGTCCAAATCATGGGAAGGAAAATATTGCAAGTGGTCCCGTTAGTTTAGTAGAAGAGACAGGTTATGAAAGCCTGCAAAAATCAAAGATGGAAACAATGGGGTACAGGTTATGTGGAGAGCTCGCTGAGCGTGTACAATGTTTTGTCTTGGTTCACAAATTATGACTGAATAAATTTATAGGACGATGCTATTGGTCCGTTAGTTCACAATGAAAGGTGCACGGTCAAGTCCAAAAAAGCGAACAAAAACATGACAGTGAAGTTGGCCGGGCTTCATAACACCGCACTTCATTAACCTGGCCTGGTTAGCTCAATTGGTTAAGCGCAGGTCTGCCGAGCTGGAGGCCGCTGGTTCAAGCCCCGGCCAGACCAACACTCAGGGTGTTTAAATATCTGAGGAGAAAGTGCTGCCTTTGTAAAGACATCTGCAAACGGTTAGGCTTTCTAGTCTTCTCGGATATGAACGATAAACCCTAGACCCCGTCTAAGTAACAAGGGTGTACTATCAAGTTTTTTGAAACCTGGTCCAATTGACAGTCAGTACATTGAAAATCTGCAGTAAATGGATGGGGTCACCTTGCTTGATTTCGCCCCGCGAGCCCGTTATTCTAAGTGTTTTTTGCCAAGCTGCGCACGGAATGTTCGAAGCTGGAACAACCGTCAAAAATCATTCTCGTACAAAAAAAAACTATGAAATATACTAAAATCTAAAGCCCGTTTGTTGATCTGGGCTATAATTTTTCAATATAGTAACTTTAAATTGCTCGATCTTGGAAGTAATTTAAAACATGGACCGTTTATACTGTGTCTCCAAATGCGGCATTTTACGCCATTATTATAAAAAATATACAACTTCTACTAACCAGAATTTTTTTCTCCTTTAAATATATTTTTCTTGTAGCCAAAACCAATAAAAAAGGGGATCACCGTTTTCGTTTCCTTGCAAAGAGACAACAAAGGGGCAATTCCGGCTTCAAATGGCATTTACGCGCGGCGGGGACTAGGGCGGGTTTTAAGCCCAACACTATTTTAACCGGGGAGAGTTAAAACGATTAAAACTATAAAGAGAGCCGTTACCTCTTTTCAGGTGACTGGTGAAAATCACCACCAGCTTTGACGTCGTCATGTTATGCGCAGTGCAAAACAAGAGAATTACCTTAAGTTTTAGTGACACTCGTTGCCGTCGCCATCGTTTTGATTAAGCTGATCTCTATTAACAGACTGTGATTGTAATAGAGTGATTGTCGCTAGAGATTGAACATTGCTTTATCAGCAAATAGATGAAAAAAATTATCACGGTAATCGTCGTTTCGTTGCCTTTAGATTGAGTCGTCACAAAGCAAGACTTAGTGTAAAGGGAATAATTTGAATGTTTTGCTTTAAAAGAGTGAAACTTGTTTTTCTCACTTTCCCGTAATGAACTTCAAAAACGGGGAAAAGTCAGTGGAAACTCGGAAGAGCTCGAAACATCTGTAGGACCCTCGAATTAGCAGTTATATGCCATGCACTCTACAGATGTGACTTACTTGCAGGTGTCCGTTTTAAGCGGGTTGAATGTTGAGACAATATAAGGGCTCTTGCCAGTGTTAAAAGAAACTGTCCATAAAACAACGAGGTGTCCGTATTAAGGTGGTGTCTGTAAAGTGGGGTTCGACTTAAACACGATATATCTTTTATTTTCAGGTGGTTTTTACCCAACTGGATTTGTTGATGGCATTCGCCAACTCTATAGCACCCGTGAAAGATGGTTTGCACCCTTCCCATGGTGGGAAAAGTTTCGATTAAGCCTTGATAACAATTTTACCAGACTCAAAATAGTGACCAGAAAGAAGGAAAGGGGAACAAAGACTGATGAAACTGTTCCTATGAAAGATATCTTTAAACCCCACGAAGAATGCGCTCATCCTAGGACGGTCTTAATTGAAGGGAGGCCAGGTATAGGAAAGACCACATTCTGTAATAAACTTGCTTACGATTGGGCCGCGAACAAACAAGTGGCAGAAAATCCTTCAGGAAGTTTTCCAAACTTCCAAGCTGTTTTACTGCTTAAATGCCGAGAAATAGAGTCTTGCCTTTCGGAGGCCACCGAAGGACAACCTCTCCCTCGATCCGAAAAAGAGAAACTGAACGAAATCTTCAAGTCTTTCCTTTGGGACGCCATTGATGACCAGCTTCTGCCTCGAGATTGCACAAAAGAAGATAAGGAAGAATTCTTCAAATTCATTCGCTGTAATCAGCCCGATATTTTACTGGTACTTGACGGATTGGATGAGTTGCCTGCCAATATGTTTGCAGCGTTTAAGGAAGTCATTCAAGGAAGAGTGCTACCAAAGTGTTACATTGTCGCTACAGCACGGCAAGAGGTTGGGATGGAGGTACGAGAGTGCTGCGATGCCTCGCTAGAAATTGAAGGTTTCACTAAAGAAGACGCCCGAGAGTTCATTTTAAGGTATTTCAAAGAGAAACCGCATTTGGCCCCGAAGCTTTTAAACAAACTAGAGTCTGACAAAAACCTCCAACAGTTGACAGAAAGTCCTTTAAACACCGTACTTCTTTGTCTTCTTTGTGAGGACTCTGATGGTATTTTTCCAGAAAGTGGTACACAGCTGTATCTAGAAATGGTAGAGTGTGTTCTTAGAAGATATAGGAAAAAGAAAGGATTACCATTACCAAATACCAAGGACGAAGACCTCACTAAAGTATACAAAACTCAACTAAGACAGCTTGGCTCCATCGCGTGGAACGGTCTGCTTCATAATAACATGTCCCTCGAAGAAGCCGAGTTTAAAAATTGCTCAGAAGAATTACCTGAATTCGGCTTCTTGTCCGTTGAGTGTAGCCCTAAAAAAGTGAGACCATCTCTGAACTACTCCTTTTTCCACAAAACATTTCAGGAATTGTTTGCGGCATTTTACCTCTGTTGCCTGGTTCTAGATAACGAAATTTGTCCAGAAACCTTAATTGCCGACGACAGATATTTTAAAGAGCTTAAACACGTGCTTTTGTTCACATGCGGCATGCTAGCTTCGCAATCGGAAGAAGCAATAAAGGCTTTCGTCTCGTGTATTGCTAAGAAGGTGAAGGATAACGCTACGTTGTCAGTTGCATTGGAATGCATTAAAGAATGTAAAAACAAAAAGAGTTGTACCCTCCATCTGCCCTTAGCTCGTACTCTTGGCTCGCATCTCCAAATAACACGATTGGATATGTCAGTGAATCTACTTGGTACTGGTGACCGTACTGCACTGGCGGAAGCAATCAAACACAATTCAACAATAACACAGTTGGATTTGGCAGGCAATAGACTTGGTACTGGTGACTGTACTGCACTGGCGGAAGCAATCAAACACAATTCAACAATAACACAGTTGAATTTGAAATACAATGCACTTGGTACTGGTGACTGTGCTGCACTGGCGGAAGCAATCAAACACAATTCAACAATAACACAATTGGATTTGTCAGAGAACGAACTTGGTACTGGTGACTCTACTGCACTGGCGGACGCAATCAAACACAATTCAACAATAACACAGTTGAATTTGGCAGCGAATGGACTTGGTACCGGTGACTGTACTGCACTGGCGGAAGCAATCAAACACAATTCAACAATAACACAGTTGTATTTGTCAGACAATGAACTTGGTACTGGTGACTGTACTGCACTGGCGGAGGCAATCAAACACAATTCAACAATAACACAGTTGGATTTGATATACAATCAACTTGGTACTGGTGACTGTACTGCACTGCCGGAAGCAATCAAACACAATTCAACAATAACACAGTTGAATTTAAAATACAATGCACTTGGTTTTGGTGACTGTACTGCACTGGCGGAAGCAATCAAACACAATTCAACAATAACACAGTTGGATTTGGCAGCGAATGGACTTGGTTATGGTGACTGTACTGCACTGGCAGAGGCAATCACACACAATTCAACAATAACACAGTTGGATTTCTCACGCAATGGACTTGGTTATGGTGACTGTACTGCACTGGCGGAAGCTATCAAACACAATTCAACAATAACACAGTTGAATTTGAAATACAATGCACTTGGTACTGGTGACTGTACTGCACTGGCGGAAGCAATCAAACACAATTCAACAATAACACAGTTGGATTTGTCTTTTACTAGACTTGGTACTGGTGACTGTACTGCACTGGCGGAAGCAATCAAACACAATTCAACAATAACACAGTTGGATTTGTCATGGAACGGACTTGGTAGAGGTGACTGTGCTGCACTGGCGGAAGCAATCAAACACAATTCAACAATAACACAGTTGAATTTGGCAGCGAATGGACTTGGTACCAGTGACTGTACTGCACTGGCGGAAGCAATCAAACACAATTCAACAATAGCACAGTTGAATTTGACATACAACGGACTTGGTACCGGTGACTGTACTGTACTGGCGGAAGCAATCAACCACAATTCAACAATAACACAGTTGGATTTGTCACGCAATGGACTTGGTACTGGTGACTGTACTGCACTGGCGGAAGCAATCAAACACAATTCAACAATAACACAGTTGGATTTGCCACGGAATAGACTTGGTACTGGTGACTGTACTGCACTGGCGGAAGCAATCAAACACAATTCAACAATAACACAGTTGAGTTTGGCAGACAATGAACTTAGTGCTGGTGACTGTACTGCACTGGCGGAAGCAATCAAACACAATTCAAGCATAACACAGTTGAATTTGGCAGACAATGAACTTGGTACTGGTGACTGTACTGCACTGGCGGAAGCAATCAAACACAATTCAACCATAACACAGTTGCATTTGTCTTTGAATAGACTTGGTACTGGTGACTGTACTGCACTGGCGGAAGCAATCAAACACAATTCAACAATAACACAGTTGAATTTGGCAGGCAATGAACTTGGTACTGGTGACTGTACTGCACTGGCGGAAGCAATCAAACACAATTCGACAATAACACAGTTGGATTTGTCTTTGAATAAACTTGGTACTGGTGACTGTACTGCACTGGCGGAAGCAATCAAACACAATTCAACAATAACACAGTTGGATTTGTCATGGAACGGACTTGGTAGAGGTGACTGTACTGCACTGGCGGAAGCAATCAAACACAATTCAACAATAACACAGTTGGATTTGTCACGCAATTGACTTGGTACTGGTGACTGTACTACACTGGCGGAAGCAATCAAACACAATTCAACAATAACACAGTTGGATTTGTCACGCAATTGACTTGGTACTGGTGACTGTACTACACTGGCGGAAGCAATCAAACACAATTCAACAATAACACAGTTGAATTTGGCAGACAATAGACTTGGTACTGGTGACTGTACGGCACTAGCGGAAGCAATCCAACACAATTCAACAATAACATAGTGGAATTTGAAATGTAATGCACGTGGTACTGGTAACTGTACTGCACTGGCGGAAGTAATCAAACACAATTCAACAATAACACAGTTGGATTTGTCTTTGAATAGACTTGGTACTGGTGACTGTACTGCACTGGCGGAAGCAATCAAACACAATTCAACAATAACACAGTTGGATTTGTCATACAATGAACTTGGTAATGGTGACTGTACTGCACTGGCGGAAGCAATCAAACACAATTCAACAATAACACAGTTGGATTTTTAAGATTAGTATTTAATGTTACTCGTCTTTTTTAATATACTGCACTGTAGACTCTATGATTGGTGCATTTCGATCCTCTCGTCACAGAAATGTCACTTAAGATTGAATACACGTTGTTCACGAATGCGCCATACTAAAAAATCACATATTGATTCGTACATTTCGATATGTCAGACAAGATCATCAAGATAAACTCTCGAACAACGCGTACTTTAACCTGCACCAACAGAGTACAAACTGCTATGGTTTACTCAGGAAAACAATCAACGTGACAACAGACATATATGTTATCCACACTTTTCCCACATACGTGACTTTAACACTTACGAGCAAACACGCACGTGAATCTATTAAAATGCTCCTTTAGTACCAACCATAAGCCAATTCCTTTTAAGTTCTTTCATTAATTCCTAAATGTATTTGTCATCTTTCTTTTAATCTTTCTAGGCTGAGAGTAACAATATTTTTGCGCAACATCTCCTTTCGCTCTCGACCTCAGAACAATTTAACATCGCTCAAAGTCTTATTGCGACGAAAAGCCGTTAATAGAACGAATATTTTTAACAGATTTCATTTCCGGACTTCAAACTTCCAAATTTAGATGAGGTAAAGATACTGAACATTCAGATTAATGTTTGAGATCGTAAAAGTGGAATTTAAGTACCTTGCTAGCAGAGCTATCTTTCCAGCATGCCTCTTACCTTGTACAGGACGTTCGCATGGCAGACATTCGCCTCGCTTCTCCTTTTTACTTGCCTTGTTTACATTAGCACGTATTGCATGCCTATTGCAACTTTGCGTCAAAACAAGCCATCTCGATTTGGGCCACGCCCAAATAACAAGAGATGTAATATATGATCTGTAATAACACGAGAGAAAATTTCTTATGGGAGCCCGAGAAACTGAATGTCAAATTTCACAAAATTACATCTTTATATGAAATTTACAGAGATTTACCTGTGTTTTCACAATTCTTTTGAAATGTGACATTCATTTTCTCGGACTACCATGAGAAATTTTCTTTGGTGTTATTACAGATGACTATTTACATCTTTAGGCCTTAAAAAATGTCAAAAAGAATGCAATATTCTTTAAATCATTCTGGTACAAGGTTTTTGTCCACTGAGAATTAAAATTACTCAATTTCCTAGTGGATTCCGTCTTAGGGCCTGTTTACGTGGAGGTGGACTACCCCAGATAGGTGAGGTAGCCCGCTTAGGTGGGGTAGCCCGCCTGTCCATATAATCTCTCATTTTAATGTGATCACGTTTACATGTTAGGTGAGGTAGCCCGCCACGTGTTACCTCACCTACCTGGGGTCCCCCACCTTCATGTAAACAGACCCTTAAAGTTTGCAACTTTGTTAACCCTTCAAGCTCTAAGAGTGACCAGTGTCAAATTTCTCTTTGTAATATCACTCCTTTATAAAACAAAGTGGTCATGGGAATTGAGGACATGATCACACAAGATGAATCTAACTGATACTTCAACGAATTCTTCCCACTACTTCTATTGAAAACGTATAAAGATAACAAATGAGAATTTGAATTTTGATATTAGGGTTTAAAGGGTTAACCTATATTTTTTTCATTTCTAATTTTCTGTTAGGGAAGCGAAATTGATCTTTTTAATGTGACATATAATGCACTGGTTAATAGGTTCCTCTGTAAACTTTTTAAAAACAAGAATGACGCCGGAGTATTTTTTCCGGTAATGTGGTGACCTGTTTATATCAAAAGGTTGTCAAAGCTTAGCTACCTTATTTTAAGAGACCCACACTTGTTGACCACCTTTAATAACCCCTTCACTTCATCAGTTAAGGGAACGTGGTGAAAAATTATCAACCCTATATTATTTTCTGTGAAGTATGTTTTCGTTCATCTTCATTAAGGGATAATGAAACCTATAACGAGGTCTCGTTATTTCGCAGTTGTTTCGGTATATTTTACTATTTATTGGAGCGTAAGTACCGTCCATTATTAATCTACCGACGACTTGGTTATATGGTGGTTCGTCATATTGAAGTTGCATTTCACTGGTGTACCTTCTTTGACTGTCATCAACGCAAGGAAGAAGAATGTTTATTTGTTTCACCACACATCTCCGACCATATCACACAAATAATTTAGTCTGAAATGAAGATAAAAAATTATATTTGGTGACAGCGAAGCCTGAACTAGAAACCAGTAAACAATATCACTGTGGAAAAGTTTGAACAATTGATTTTCCGACTGGGTTGATTTCATGCTTACATCACTTATCACTTGCATATAAAACTACCGGGGATTCCCGTGATTACCGTCTTTTCTGAAAGCTTGTGAGAGAACCCATCAGAAATAAAGCCCAATAATTCATCTTCAAAATCATACAAATAAAAAAGTATACAAATAAAACGAAACGAGCACTTGAACATATCGCCAATGAGATAACTTAGTGTTCGACGAACATGCATCGTCCGGCGGCACTTTGAAACACGAAAACAAAAAACATGTACTTAGCACCACCTTACCTTTACGCAAATTCCTTCCCAGTCTTAAGGTGACATTGTAGCAAATCATCTGTGACATTACTTGGATAAGTCCTTCCTGAGGAACGGGAAAAAAGGCAAAATGATTTGCCGAACTAAAGTCCTACTTAGTTTTTGTGCGTCCGCCATGAGCATTTTGAGCAATGAATTTGATTGGTGACAAATAATAGCCACGTGACAGCTGCGCAGCATTTTTCTTCCAGCAAACATACATCAGCGATTTCTTTATTGTCAAAATGAAATAAATATTGCTAAATATGTTTTCCTGTACGCATGTAGTAATCAAATACGACAAGGAAAAAAGTAAAAGAAAAAAACAACAGAGAAAGGATACAAGTTGATACACGTACTGTTCGCAACTGGTCACCCATCCGGTTTCCAACGCCGTTCCTTCAGGGCTTTTCAACTTGAGTAGCACACTTAGTTTCGCCTCTCACGTAGAAGCAGAGTTTGCTTAAATAACTTGTGCTCAACACCGAGTTTTTGCGAGGGGTTGCAGGAGACGTATTTGTAGTTTTACCCCGAAGCGCATGCGTGTATGCTGTTGTTATTGGAGCGCCCACAAACCACAAGCCTGATAAACGGAAAAAGGAGTCTAATATAAAGAAGATTTTTCGTTAAGTTCATTAAGTGCACAAATTTTGTGGAGTCTAGGGGGGTGATAGTTGGCCACTGTCTGATCCCTGCTTGACGACTCGTGCGATAGTGCATCACTGGGGTACGGGGAAAGTCTACCAGTACATGAGTACTCATGGGTGATTCCGCTCCGGGCCCTACTGGTTGACAGGAGGGTGCTCAAAGATCTCCTCGGAGAACTCAATCACGATCCCAGTGGTAAAATAGGGAAAGACAACCGCCTTGTCAGCGGTAAAATCCTCACTGCGGTGAGGCAAGAAGTCTTAGCTGTTGCTAGGCAAAGAACAGCCACCGAGCATCCCCCGACAAGGGTTTTGCTCTTTTTATTGCGGCAGTGGCTATTCCTGTGGGACCCGTACAGCAACTTGTATTTGCTGTTCATACGGGATTAAGTCTTTTCTTGAAATTTCTATGAAATTTCTGCTCAACAAATGTTATGAAAGTGTCTGCAGATGACCACCTAAACCACTATACCACGGAAAATTCGTTGCTGAAAAGCGCTATGATTTCGAGTTATATAGCAACAACCCTAACCTTAAAAAGAAGCTTATCGTTTCGAGTCAGTGCTTAATCAATATAGTCAGAATCCAGTATGAATAGCAAATACACGTCGGTGTACGGGTCCTGTACGAATAGTCAATTACCAATAAATGGTGGAGGTCGATAAGGTACTAAAACTAGTTAATAAAGAAGTTATTTCTCGAAGTTGTTTGTTTTCTTACATGATACTCTTTTAGATAAGTCCAAGTTTTTGGTTTGAGATAATTTTCAACATATAGTTCCACACCAGGACCTTAAAAACAAATAATTTTAGGACACCCCCATCGAAATTTTGTGCGGAGAATAACTTTACAATCACCTACAGCACCTTTCACCTTTTCGAAAGATATTATTATTATTATTATTATTAAGGATATTCATCTCAGTATTTATTTGGGTGAATATTATTTTTATTAAAAACAGCAAAGTAACTAAATAAGATCAAAGGAATTGATATTTTGTTTACAGCTGCACCATCTGTTATTTTACCATAACTGAGCGAATTCTCGCGAACAAAAAAAAGAGGTAAAAGTACAGACCATGGAAAATTGTTGTCGATTTATTAATTATAAAATAACTAAGAAAGTACGCGCGCTCTGATTGGCTGAGAGGTGTGTTTGCGTGAGAGTGTGTAAACGTGGTTTTGACGCGGTGAGGGTAAAAGGTGCAATGAGTTTGCCGAATGGCATGTGGCATGGCTTGCAGAATGACATAATTATGCGGAATTTAATTTATGGAAAATGGCGCAAAGAAATAAATTTAACAGGAAAGCATGCGTGCGTCTCTACCGCGCCTTTTTTGGCGC